CAATAGCTCCCTATTGTTTAGTTCAGTTTAGGTTTAGATTTCTGTCTTCTGCAACCCAAAGAGCCCTAGTTAACCGTGCACTTAAAGATGGCTGCAGATGCTTCGTTACTCTCCTTGTTTCGAGATTGAATTTGTGACCAACCTCCTTGAGTCTTGGGGGGTTCTGTGGCTGCCAGGCCTCACAGAAAGTGGCAGAAGAGACACTGGATCAGCTTCCAGTTCCAGGTCTTACGAAACTGGTGCTTCCTCTGTCCTTTCTCCGAAACGCAACCTTTGGGAGCTCTGAGACCCTAGAAGAAGGCCAGCAGCCCTGGGACTAACATGCTCAAGAGACCATGTGTAAGAGCTTTGGTGAAGAGTCCCAGCTGAGAGCAGCCTTACAGCCAAGGTTCAGGGCACGTGACTGAAGCTGTCTTGGACTCTCCAGGCTAGTTCATCCATTTGCAATCTATTTTCTCAATTCGAGAAAATAATGTACAAAATGCCACTGAGTGACCACTGAGTTGATACCCCATAGAGCCAAAGCATCACTTAGGTGAGCCCTGACTAAATTCTTGACTCACAAACTTACTGGATTATACTAACATGGCTAGGTTCTGAAGTAGTTTCTTTGCAGCAATATATAACCTGAAAACAGATAAAATTCTTTTTACTTATTAAATTTTAAACAGTTACTTAATTATTCACCTATTGCTAATTAGTTTTTTTAACTATTATATATAGCCGGTAGGTGTTGAAAATTAAGAAAAGCTTTCCTTTTCCAAGAGGACAGTGAGAGACAAGCTAAGCGGCTTCTCATTTGGGAGGTGAAAATAGGACTTCTGATCTTAAATGTGCACTACATTAGAAAGCGTTTTTTCAGTATTACAATTTTAATCAAATTATCTAACTTGTTTGGTCCTGGAGTTTTAGGTGAATAAGGTAAAACCTGTCTATTCGACAGGCTAAATATAGATTTTATTATATGTCAAAAATTGTAATTACCTGCACAAACTTTAAGGTATCATTACCATTCTATTCCTACGTTCATATATATAAAGTATACATTGTGAAGTCATTAGTTTAAAAATCAACTCTTACCATCACCACCACCTCCTATATTTTCTTTTGTGGAATCATATACATGTTCCATGTAAAATGTTATTTACATTGGATGGAAGACATAGAATTACAATTAAGGAAAGACAAATTGCAAAGGAAAAATAAAACATTCAAATAAAGTTTGGCAAAAATGTGGGGATTCAAGTGAGTAAGATTCTTGTGGTTAAAAGTAACATGTAAGTATCTCTTTGGTGAGGAAGGGTGGGATGATGATTTTGTGGCTCAAAAAATATAATTCAAATTCTGGTACTCACTAGTTTTTGTATTTGGGACTCATATTTGTAGCTTCTACATCCTATACGGATAACATTGTTCTGTTTTGTTCGTAAGATATTAAATGAGATTGAAAGTAACCCCTAAATGCATGAGTGGTATATGCAGAAAGTCTATGGTCTGACAAAATGAGTACCTTGCATGTTCAGAAGGAGTTCATTAAAAACAGGCATCATACCTCTATATTCATGCTGCATCCCTCCAGTGTTGTGAATAAATGAAAAAAGAGAGCTGTAGGCCATCTTTCACGAAGCTCCAAACTTACTTAAAAAGTCATGTAAAATGATGTGCTTTGAAAATTGTTTTAATGCAATTAAAAGTTATTAAAAAGTTAGAGCTGTCTATTTAATTATCTTCTGACATTTTATAAATATTAAACAATGGTTTGTTTCTTTATTTTCAGAAGAAGATAAATGCAAACATTACTGTTGTCTGGAAAGCATCACTGTCAAGACATTATCCTTCCTTTTGTTGTTGCAATGCAGTATTTTTCCATAGTATTGTTTTTAACTGGTGATGAATGATTTCTTTGCCTTTCCTGCTTTGTAACTCAGAAGCCTAATTTTAATGATGTGATTTTTCACTTCAAAAACTTTTCACATTTCTAAAACAACAAAAAAACAAAAACTTCTCAGGTTTCTGTAATGATTTAAACCTATCAATATATCCTATCAATTTCTTTCTTGCTTTCCTGCAGTATTTCCCAACCTGCAGCAGAGCTGTGGGACACATTATGGTTTTTCTCCAGTAGTTCTAGCTGATGCTGTAGTTCATAAAGTCGAAAAAAATTTTGCAATCTTTACTTCCATGAACTAGCCCCTGACATGGGGAATTATACTGAGTCAGAACTTCCCAGCCGCGCCATCCCTACGTATGACACACACACACTGTAAGAGCCATTAAAGTTCATTGTGGTTCAGGCCACTGAGTTTTGGATATGAAGCAATAAATAACCAGTAAACACACACAGATTGTTACAGTATATCTTAATATCTTTATTGCTTCATTTCATGAAGAAATTATTGAAAGGATTTACATATCTAGTAACCTTACTCATTCTAAAGACTGAAAGTCGTTCACAGGCACGTGCCGATCTACCTTTGTGTTCACCATCACCTTCTTGTTATCCTCAAGCTAAATTGCTAAGTTTCCTTCTAAATACTACATTTTCGAGAAGGACATTTCCACAATAATATTACTCAGTGAGCTTAGGTGACAAATTGAATATTTTTCCTGTGTATCATGTTCTTTCTTTTGACAAATATTCATTGACACCTACTATGTGCCAGCCACTCTTCCAGAAGCTTAGTATACGTCCATCAACAAAAAAGACAAAAATCCCTGCTCCCGTGGAACTTACATTTCAGCATTAGTTATCAATTGTTAATTGTATGTATATGTCTTGGCGACCCACTATGTATACGTAGAAATATGTATATGGCATAGGCCCTGCCTTTACTGCCTTACTGTTATGCACTTTTCACATGAATATTTTTCATGAATGCAACATTCTTCAAAAAATGAACTTTTAAACAATTTCTATGTCAATTAAAATGCATATCACAATGACAAAACAAATTAAGATAGTAATTTGGTCTATCTCCCATCTCCTGGCTATTCAGACACATGCAATAAGAATGTTTGAGTTCTTCAGATTATTCTGTCTGTCAGCCTGTCACATTTTAATGTCAATTCTCTGTTCATTAGGGACATTCTATCCAGGGGGCTCTTTATCTTTTTGCTTCATTTACTAAAGAGTGATAATGTCATATGGTGCAGAAGATTTTTTGCATAACGGCTCCTTGACGTACCAGTACTCTTCAATAAGAAGGAAGACAAGACAGCTATTTTTTTTTTTACACTGAGGATGATGCTGTCTATTATTTTTATAGCATTAATATTAAAACTGTGTGTCCTGGGATTTATTTGTGATCTACCAAATTACATTTTAAACATACAATGATAAAAGCAGGTTTATAAATGTAAACCTAATCACTAACGAGGTCCACTTTACAATGGAAATGTAATCAGTTGTAGCTGTTCTTTTTTTAAAAAGCTTCTTACAGATCAATAGTCAAATGAGTTCAGATTCATCAGTTCATAGATAAGTAACCACAGTCCAGGGAGTTTCAGTCAAAGTGAGCTACTGGCTATTGACAGAAAAGCAACAAAACCCCCAGCCTGTGGCTCTCAGCCCACAGTCTTTTTATTACACTGAGACTTCATCTCATTATTATGTACAGAAAGAAGCAGAGAAATATTCATTTCACAAGTGTTTAATTTTTCATCTTGAAGAAAGCAACTTCAAACCTTAATGTCTTACATTCTTAATCATTTTTGTTAGGCTAATGTGAATTTATTTTTTACTTTACTTTTATTTTTAAAGAGGCTTAATGAGAAAATTATGTCATGGAAAGTTTTTAAAATAGAAAAAAGATCTATAAAATCACTGCCCTCCAAAACAACCGCATTTTTGGGGGTAGTTTTTACATTCTAGTTTTTAATGTAATCATAGTGATAGCAAACATGCAATTATATGTGTGTGTGTTTGTGTGCGTTTACTTAATAACTCTGTCAGTTGCCCGATTTCTGGTATTAGAAACACCACTGCAAGCATATCTTGTGTACTGGACTTTATCTATAATTGTCTTTATTTCATTAGAATTAATTGCTGAGGGACATTAATAAGTTAAAAGCTATGGACATATATGCCCTTGGTATATATTTCTATGTTACTTCCCCAAAAAACATGGTACCAGTTTTCATGTTATTATAGCAATGGAATCCCACTGAAGGCAAATTAATCTGCTTCCTGTTTTGTCCTTTGCTGTTTCTCCATCACCGAGTCTATGGTCTGCTACAAAACGCCATTGCTTAATGGATGCATAAATGTAAAAGCACCAATTTCTGTTCCAACCTAGTGTCCGTACCACTGCTTTGGACATTACTATTTAAATATAATTTTGTTCAATGAGCCATTTATATAAGCTTTAGTGTTTCTTTTTGATTATCATTATGGATTCAAATTCTCCAGTCACTAGGTGAATATTTACTCACTTATGTTTCCAAAACTTACTCATTAAATATTTGTACACTCTGTAAAAATGTAAGCTAGTCATACCCCAAGACCTCTGGGGTAAGAGAGAAGCTCACATAAACTGGGAAAGAATTAGAGCTTGTCAAGGAACAGAAAGGGTAGTGACTTCCATGTTTCATGTGAGAAGTTGTTGTCATCTTTAAATTTGTAAAAACTGTGATAACTCTAGAGTGTAAATGAGGACAATGACTATATAATTTGTGAACTGAAACATCTTTGAGGCTGGTCTTCATAATTATGCCAGGACAGCAGGCATAAACTGGGAATCTTCTGTAAAAATCAGAATGCAGCCAGTCCAGCCACCGGCATAATCATAACCTTATTCTAAACCTCCTCTTAACCTCTAATCTCTAAACCTCTAGACCTGGCGATCTCTAACCTTTAAACCTCTGACCTCTAAGCCTCTAAACCTGTAACCTCTAACCATCTAAATATCTAGACCTCTACTTGCCTCTAAACCTCCACTGACACAATTAGGAAAGGGCATCATGCTGTTAGAAGAAAGGTGCTGGGAAGGGAAGTCCATTAGAACCATGTTGTTGATAGTACAGTCTTCCCTCACATCTGCGGGGCACTGGTTCCAGGACCCGGGGGATACCAAGTCCACAGATGTTCAAGTCCTTTATGTAAAACAACATAGTACAGTCGGCCCTCCGTGTCCAGGGCCTTAGTCAACCGCGATGGAAAATCCCCTCCACGGTTGGCTGAATCTGCGGATACAGAGGGCTGACTGTGTTTCCGCGTAGGTAGAGATCCAACTCCATAAAGGTGTTAGAGGAAATAAATTTCCAAATAGGCAACAAGGCAAGTGAAATCTTCCTGGGCTTAGAACCAGGGGATTGAGGTTATTAGGAAAAGTCAGGAATTAAAACTGCCCTGTGGGGATTAGAACCACTGTGGAATTGTCCAGGCAGGAGCTGGAAGGGAGATAAAATTTGTTCGTGGAGACTGGAACCACATGGAAACACAGCCACTGGCATAGACTGAAGCAGAGATGGGGGAAGGCCGGGGAGTTACTCTGCTCCTCCCTTCCTCCTGTGCTCCAATCACCTGCCAGTGCCTCTCCGTTGAAATAGAGATCAGTCTCAAAGGAGCCTGGGGATTGTACTTTGCAGAGTCAGCTGAGTGATACCAAACAGAAAAGTGTAAGGGAGGAGAATGAATCTGAAGGCAACTAGGGAAATGACCACCACATCCAGTATAATCATATTTAAAAAGAATAAAAAGCAGCGCACAAGCCAAAGTGGCCCATTAGTGGACTGTGATTTCAGGCTTAATGCACAGCTACACATAGTGGGAATTTTCACGTGAGCTACAGTCATCTGTTAGCTGTTACAGCGTCCCTGGGAACTTAGAACCCTGCAATGGGCACTGATCTGAAAGGCTCTGGCAGATGCAATGTCTCTAGTCAAGGACACAAGACACTGCAGCTCAGATTTCTATTTTTTGTTCATTTGCTGAGACACAAACAGGAGAAAAGGCAATAAAGAAATGGAGGTCACTGAAGTTAAAAATCTTGAAGAATATTATTAATTAGTATTTAGCATGCTTTTCTCTTTACATTCTAGCAGTAAATGAAATGTACATGTGCCATGTGAGAAGGAATGCGTTTTTCATCTCACTCTCACAGTATCTGTGGTTGAGATTCTTATTTCTTGCTTCTTGACTCCTCTTCATCTCCACAGGCACAGTCACGGTCCATATATTATCCACACCACATCTAGACCAGGGCAGCAGCCACTTCTGCTGATTATAGAATCTTGTGCCTTAAACTGAGACTTTCTGAAGCAACAAGAATCAAGAATCCTTCAGGATAAATTGGACAGTCAAGCTCCTCTTCTGAGAAGGAAAATGACTACTGGCTAAAGTCTAATTAGAAGTCTAAATTACAGGCTTCAAAATTCTTAATCACTGGGATTCTCTCTGCCTAGTTGATCTCATTTTCTGTAACATTTAAAGTCAAACACTGCGCTCCACAAAAGCAAATATATTCACTCTCACCCACATAAGAATCAGCAGCCTCAACCTTCAGTCCTGGTCTCCTATCATTTCCCTGTCTACTGCTGGCTCATTGCTTTCCACAAATCATAACACTTTTCTCTCAGTTAAAACTATTTTTTTATAACTCATCCCCACCACGACAACTTCTCAGACTTTAGGTAGAATGATCATCAGGTTTATTACTCAAACTGGAACACTTTTAAGTGTAAAAAGGATGCTGCTAATAATTTCAGCAGGAAAAGGCAAAATTCACCACTGTCTCTGGCAAACCAAGATAAATGTTCACCCTAACTATGGCCCTAATCATTCATAAAACTCTAAGCACCATAAACACATCTCAGTAAATAGAGATAGAGATATCCTCTCCCTTCCTTCCCCTCCCATATTCTTCCATCTATTATTCACTATGACTTTAATTTTGCTCAAGATCCAAGGCAAGCATTATTTCGATATTTAAACATACGAGTTTTTCCAACTACCTCCTTTCTTCTGGAGACTACCTTTTAGTTTGTTCTTTGGTGACCATTGAATAATATTGTGAACTATTGAATACCTTTTGCTTAGGCTTCTAACTGCACTGTCCATTCATAACTGATAGGGTTTGAAGGAATGGTACAAAGTTACTTGTGGTAACTTTGAGTAAAGGTGGGATGCCCTTTTTTCAAGCTGGGAGTTAGGGGACAGGAGGATAGGACTGACCAATAAGATTAAGGATCAGTCTGACTGGCTAGGGAAAGCCCGTAAGATACTGTGAATCTAGGTAAGCAAGTTGTTAAGATAGAAAGTTCAGCTACAGGGAAGGGGGAAAAAAGCCATAGACTGTTTCATATAAACAAGGATGCCCAAAGGACCCAGATTCTAAGAGACCAGGCGTGAGCACCAGTGTCCTCAGCTGATGCACACTGATGCCACGCTGACATATGTGTTCTGTTTTTACTGTAGGATGATGTGTACGAGTAACTTCTAAACCACAACTCTTCATCCTGCGAAGAAGCTACCTGTGGCTTGTTGGTGCGTGCACCATCATGAGCTAGTTCTGCAACGGAGGTTTCTAATTCTTTAATCAGCATTTAAATCAACGTGAACAATATCAAATAAGAAGGCAATCAGAATTATTTTTCCATATCTCTGTATCTCTGTACTCAGAACAGGTGCTATATACAGTTAAGTATCAACCACTAGTGAAAAGTACAGAATTTATTCTAGAATCATAGAGATGATTTAGGAGCTTAAAATGAGATCAACCTTAACAAGCAGTACCTAGGTTGCTCTTGCCCCTGTGAAATGGGAAGCTAAGCCCTAGACCCTCTCTCTTGCTGAGAAAGCAACACAGAGATGAGCGGAGCTATTCTCTGTTTCCCTGATGGCCCCCGAGTCGTGAAACTGTTTACTGATGGGTCTTCCTCATGTATGGTCTGGAAAAGAGGTGGCAGCCAAAACTGGTGAATATGACGATGCAGCCGGTCCCTGATCCACTTTGCAAGTTGTCTGGTGTGAGAAAGATCATTATTTTGAAATTATAATTTATTACTTTCATCAGTACCAAGAAAAGAATAAGAAAAATACGTCTTTTACACTATGTTCAATATCACGTAATCCATAAGGAAAAGTCTTTTGGAGTCAGGGCCAGTGTGTGAATTTTTTGGGAAGTCTTCTTAAAAACCTCTTCAGCACCTTCTTTGGGTGTGACTGGTATGTGCAGTCTTGACTAGAGCCTAGAGGATAAAGATGATCTTTTTCGTATTATTTATTTATTTATTTTTGGGGGGAGGTAATTAAGTTTATTTATTTTAACTTTTTTTAATGGAGGTACTGGGAATTGAACCCAGGATCTCATACATGTTTAGTACACACCCTACCACTGTGCTGTACCCTCCTCCAAAGATAATCTAATTTCTTTAAACTACCCCCCTCCATGAATCTTCGAAATATTTGTGTATATTATGCATTAATGTGGTATGGTTCTTTTAATTTTGTACCTTAATTTTATAATTTAATTTTAATGTGTGTGGATTCACTCATTAAAAACACTTTAAGGAAAAATAAAATCTGGGTTATATTTTCCTTCCCAAAAACCCTGTTTCTTTAAAATAACCAACTGGTGAGACAAAAATGAAGTTGACCAAATACAGAATTGAGGTGAAATTTTTCATGCAAAGGTATACAAAATACCTATAAAAATGGCTGAAATGGCTTTACTTTTAAAAAAGAAACCATGAATGAATATATCTGCCCCTTTAATATAGCTGGAGGCTGATAAACACAGCTGTCCATAATGCGAAGGCAGATTACATCACGTTACTCTAAATAAGCCCTCTAATGAGAAATCAGGATTAAGCTGAATCCGGAGGAGAAATTTGTATTTGCCTTGAGAATTGCAAGCTGATCTCCCCTGGGGAGAATGATGGAGCATTAAGAGATTTTAATTTGAAATGAGGTTATGGGATTGTAAATTGCTGACAGATATTTAGTAAATGATTTAGTGTTTGTGTTTACATTCTAGCTTAGGGAAGATTTTGACTTTTTCAGCAAACTGAAAAAATGTCTTCAAAACACATTTAGCTAATCAAAATGAAGTGTCCAAAGAATGGGGAAGAATGAGCAATTACGTTGATATATTTGCATTATGCATTAAAATTCAACAATAAACTTTATTCTCTGAGCAACCCTCAGTCTTTATTAAGTATATTAGTGCCATACAATTAATTTAGCAGCATCAATTAAAGATCGAGTGATAATATCCTTGAGCAAATGTTATAACTCAAAATACCAGGCTTATTAAAAAAAATACTTGTATACCTCTCTACATTTCTAGAAGAATCTACAGTTATACACAATCCAAGGAGATTTCTTTTTTTTGGTGGTTTATCACATACTTTTTCTGAAGACATTGAGGAAGTGAAGAATATGTATGGAAGATACTGTGTTTACTGTACACCTGCCAGGAGTAAATAGCATAGCTTATGTCCAACTAGTTCTGTAAAAAGGTTGCCCTCTGGGGAAGATGGGTGAGACTGAGACTGATAACACAGCTTACTCCCTTTTTCCTTTTGAAACTTTTATTTTCAATGTGACACCTACTATCATACATAGTCCCTTTCTCTTCTTTGTGACAAACTCACACAGCTTGCAAAAAGTGATTCAGCCTTCATTAGAGAAATGCCACCCAAAGGGTCTTTTTCAAAAGCTTTGTATTTTCCAGCTGGAGACAAGACTGACTGCATCGTGGTTTCTATGGCCCTGCGATACCTACCTACTCCAAGATAGGCACTGCTGTCATTACAGACATGGTAGGAAAATGTGCTCTTTCTTACCGAGCTGCCTTGTGGTCCAGTGTCACTGGGGAAATATCATAGCCTGGTTTATGGGAGGCCATCCTATTTTATATGCAGGTACATCATACAGCGCTTTATGCTTGGGAGGCTAGCGAGGAAGGAATGCAGTGCTTTCCACTCAGCCAAGAGTCTCCTTTTTATTTCTTTTATTGAAAAAAGTGGCTTGCCATTTACCTTTTTATGTCCATTTCTAATTGGAAATAATCCTTTTCCTCTCAAATTTCTAAATCTGACACCCTTTCGGGGTTTGTGTCCTTTCCCTTTGCTTCTTCACATACATTTCCTTCTGCCCTAAAACCTGTGCAATTAACTTCTGTCACCTTAAAAGCCTTCCTAACAGCACATCACTCCAGCTGTTGAAGCAGATGTAATTACATCCTACCCTACCTGTCCCGGGGCATGCTAGTTTCATACAATTTTCATACCATCCTGTTTCATTATTCAAGCAGAGTGAAATTTTAAGGACAGTGTGATTAGGCTGAAATTGGAACTATTCAAGGTTTGGCATATTGTGAAAAGGCAGGCTCTTTCCTCCCCTACACCGAACTAAAAAGCTATTGTAAAAAAAAAAAGGTTCAATCAGCTTGGCGCACACACACTGGTCACACACTCAGGACTGTCACAGTTAAGACTATTCATGGAGCCATATTAAGATTCATTAGTATTTTTATGACTGAGTTGGGAGTTTAACCTGATGGAAATGGTGTTAATGATTAAGGGTTTTATAGATTTATATAGATTCTGTCCTGATTTTGGCAATGAGAACCAAGAAAGGCACACTGAAGCAATGTGAACAACACAGACATTTATGCAAAGTATTTCAGTATGGTGCTTAAAGAATATTTAACATTACTTAAAAAATTATTGTTGATGGACATTTAAGTTGTTTCCATGTCTTGACAATTGTAAACCGTGCTGCTATGAACATTGGGGTGCATGTATTTTTTGAATTAAAATTCCCTCTAGATATATGCCCAGGAGTGGGATTGCTGGATCATATGGTAAGTCTATTTTCAGTTTTTTGAGGAATCTCCGTATTGTTTTCTATAATGGCTGCACCAAACTACATTCCCATCAACAGTGTAGGAGGGTTCACTTATCTCCACACCTTCTCCAGCATTTATCGTCTGTGGACTTTTGAATGATGGCCATTCTGACTAGTGTGAGGTGATACCTCATTGCAGATTTGATTTGTAATTCTCTGATAATTAGTGATATTGAGCATTTTTTCATGTGCCTATTGGCCATCGGAGAATTGCTTGTTTAGGTCTTCTGTCCATTTTTGGACTGGGTTGTTTGTTTTT